AAAGCAGTAATTGTATTCCATAGAATTGTGACCTGTATACTCTAGTTCAATTACTAAATGCCATTGAAACAGTTTATCAGACATCAGTATGGAGATGTGGCAGTCAAACTCATTGATCAGATACGAAGAACAGAAGGAAAATATGTACATGTATGTAATAATCTAACTTTCTTGATGCGATGCAGGGATGCCGATATCAGATTACCATTAGGTACACGTAATTAAGTTACATCCCTGGTTTGTCATCATTAACTTAGCATTGTGGTGTACATGTATATATTGTCCTGTCATATTTTCATTTTTTATCATAGCTTGATAATGACTAGAGAAGCCTAGTCGAAACGTCGCTCAGTAAAAAGCAGTAATTGTATTCCATAGAATTGTGACCTGTATATAAAAGTAGCTAAGTCTCTTACTCAATATCATCCAAAGTCTTCGACATTGAAAACACGATTTATTTGTCAATTTAAATCAAAATTGATGTTGTGATCTTACCGGGAAAAGATGGGCTTCTGATATCCAATATTTAAGACAAAATAAACATTTTACAATTGGTACACGAATCGTGTACCATAGTACGTTTGAGCGCCATTTGTAACAAGGGATTCGAAGAACGAGGCTAGACCCATATTCTTATCTGGAGAGCATGCGCAACAAAATAATATCGGTGTAGACTGGAATAACCAGACACTAGAAGTTGCCATTCGATTGAAACTTCTGGAGTATTTCGCCGATCATAACTGTTTTGAAATTAGAGTAAAAATGGAAACAATTGAATGTAAATCAGTTTATGTACATTCATATTACATTATTATATGCGATGCGACCCATTTATGTCAAGTTTCAGGTCCCAAATATTAGCGATTTAGCTCCTTTAAACATGCATTATGCAAGAGCTAAATCTGCCTATCGCAGGTGTTTCTCTAGGCCTTAAATGTTATATAAATTATTAATTAGACATTAATTAACTTACCAAGACCATAACCAACTCTTGATGCAATCGGATGGACCCGAATTTAAGTTGGTTAGAGCGGTTCAGCCATTTAATGATTTAATAACAAAAACTGGATAATCGAGACTCTGTATATTTTCTTAACAACGGAAGCAATGACAACCCGGCATAGAATGAAGTAATTTGACTGAAATTATCAACGTATCCCCTTTTCATTATCCATTTTTTAACTATATCGAGAACTGTCAGCTCTTTATCTAATGTTACATAATGCCCCTTCAAAATTTATTGACTGTTCATATAAGATTCCATCTAGTACCAATTACCAAATAAATCAAACTTGCCATGATGTGTAACACTAATCCCATCAACCAGGGAGTGTTTAACTGTTTATAAAGGGGAACGACATGGACGTTTTGAGTTATGCTTTGACTTATTGCCCATGTAATTATCAAAAGCGTGTAAAAATCAAAACATACGTAATTATTCTGCTAGCTATAGTATCATTTATACTTGTCTTATTTTAAAAACTTGTTTATAAGCCCTCGGAAATTGTTCTGCTAGTTATCGTAGGGAGGAGGGGGTAGGGTGGGGGCGTATTCTATATCTGTAAGTAGGATTCGTGGGTTCACTTTCTTCAGATCTAACAAAAACGTAATATTCCTAGTATGTTGGCATGGGAATTCTAAAATATTTACCAAACTGAATTCGATTTGGAGAAACAACGCCTTTTAAAGAATAAATTAAAACGTTACTTATATTGCGCAGTTATTAATTCCACAAGGGAATACATATTGAGGTATTGTATTATATTTCCTTGGTAAAAGTACTTCACTGTATCTAGATAACCCACACCTAGATAAACATGTAAAATATTGTACATAATACTATACATATTATAATATTACATTGATCAATATAGCGATCTAATTATATATCGTCATAAAAAAATCAAACAGAAAAAAGGGTTACAAAACTTCAATGATTGGATGCCAAACGGAAGGTTTACTATATATAGAGGAAGCAAAGATGGTCTAAATGATAGAATGGCGTCCTGGATTTAATTTTTGTAATCCACTTCGGTTGCCTGAGGATTATTTGTGTGGATAAAATTTGATGTTCCGGGGCTGGATAAAGTAATTATTACACAGAAAAACAGAAATTTCAAAGGTAAGTCTTTCAGGGGATTTTAATTACATTTGTTGGGTGCGTATAATTCGCAATTTTCTACAATATAAATCATAGGAATTCAAAACGTTTAATCCAACGATTCCACATTGAATAAAACAATTTGAATTATTTATACAAAATTAAGAAATAAGAACAACTCAGCAGTACGTGATTGAAAATCGATTTGCATATACTGATTGAACTAAATGCATTGATCGATTTTTATATTCGATCCATAATACTAACACGTTTTGCTCTCTGAATCAGCTGGTAAATCTGGACATTCGCGAGAATAGTTTATAAATATTTTATTTTCATTTTTTCATTAAAGACTGTCGACAATCCCCGAGCTATTAAAGAAACGCGGCCATCATACACACGCGGCCTTCAACTAATATCTTGATTAAGCCATTATCCAAAAATATATAGTTGACCGTACGTTTTACCGGTATTAAACGCTTAAGATAAGTGATATTCATACCAGAGACGCATTTATAACGCTATTTCACACACACATGGTATTTAGATTACACGGGCGAATGAGAAATGCTATTTACGATTGGTCTGCGAGTATTATTTAAACCAATGAGTGATTGGTGGGCGAGTAATATTTAAACAAATGGGTGGGTGGTGGGCGAGTAATATTTAAACAAATGGGTGAGTGGTGGGTGAGTATTATTTAAACAAATGGGTGAGTATTATTTAAACAAATGGGTGAGTGGTGGGCAAGTATTATTTGAACAAATGCGTGAGTGGTGGGTGAGTATTATTTAAACAAATGGGTGAGTGGAGGGCGAGTATTAGTTCAACAAATGGGTGACTGGTAGTGGGCGAGTTGTGATCTTTAGGCTGCATTATCACCCTAGGTTTTACGCGAACGTTAACCCTATATTATGTAAACAAATGGGTGAGTGGTGGACGAATATTATGTAAACAAATGAGTGAGTGGTGGGCGAGTATTATGTAAACAAATGGGTGAGTGGTGGGCGAGTATTAGTTAAACAAATGGGTGACTGGTAGTGGGCGAGTTGTGATCTTTAGGCTGCATTATCACCCTAGGTTTTACGCGGACGTTAACCCTATATACTACTACTACTACTACTACTAGTGGTGATTTATATTTGATTAAATGTAATATTTAAAGCAGATTAGTGGAATGATGGTGAAAACAAATTGATCATGAATTAGATGACAAAACTAAATAAAAATGGCTCATCAACTTTAATAGGCAATCACTCATTTTGATGAAACGTGTTTGTCTCCATGGAGAATCATGTAACAGATAAGAACATGTAGATCTATTAATTTACTCGCAATCTGAGGGTGTGTGATTTAATTAATTAGACATCATTGGACTTACAAATCATTTTATACTTATGGTTACTCTCACGGAAATTTAGTTCCTATTTATTTACTTCTGACGGGTTCTGTTAGACAAGGTTGGAATTACGAGGTAAGAATGTATAATAATGACTTTTTTACCCAGAAAAAAAACAGGGCTTTTGAGTTTTTTTAGAATTTAATTTGAATTAATAGTAATGGAACAAGCAGTTCGCGGGAATAAAATATCGTCGGTGAAGTGTCAAAAGCGTGTATCTAAGAATTTCTAAAGATTAAGAAATAGAACCTTTTGCATTTTAAAATTTCCACAAATCAAGAAGCAACATTTGGACACATGATACCCATGTGTAGAGGTACACAGCTTAGACAGAAATGTGCTTATAATATTTTGGAGAGTTTAAAAAATGCAAAAAGTCTATTTGACTAATTTCCCGAGAAACACCCTTTTGACACTTCACCGACGATATTGAAGATTGTGATTAAAAAAAAAAAAATTTAAATGGCTATTGTTTTAGGCATATCCGATAAATTCTGTTTACAAAGAATTAGTTCCTTGACATTAAACTTTATGCAAATACAAGTATTTTATACTAAATTTAATAATTATTTAGAGATGAGTTGAAGAAGATATATAATTTTGATGAGAGTGTATCAATATTAATTGATTTCACTTAATCAGTCCGGGACCCCAAAAAACAATATTTATATGTGTGTGCGAGGAGAGGGGAGGGTCCCTCCCAGTGCCACCTGGTAAATTGGACTGTGTTGAACATCCTATAGTGTCGATTTGTAGCATATCTGACCCACGGTATATGTTTGATACTGGTTAACCATTATGATTATGATTATAATGTTGAAAACCGCATTGAAACCGCGTGATTTTTGCCAATTGCGAGAGGGCGGAAAAACTCAAAACCATAAGACAAAGCGCGTCATTTCGTCCCTCTCACTTAGCCCCTGAGGTGGACCGAAACTACTTTTCTTTGTGATCGAAAGCGCACACGTTAGACCATTCGGCCATCCCAATCCCCGTCCTCAATGCAAAAAGACAGATTCACTTGACCTTACAACGTGTGAAATTGTCCGGAGACTGAGATAAAATGATAGAAGAGTTGATTACAAAAATATAATGAAATGGGGTTTAACATTAACGTCCTATGGTTCTGCTCCGACTGGGCAAAGCTAGACGGGCATACGCCATGCAGTTTGCTATGGCGGAAATTTTGCCCGGACAGCGGTGCTACGGTCTATCGAATCCCAACTACGTGCACGCCAGTATATACTCCGAACGACTAGACAGCTGTCCTTGTCAGGCCCTCTGTACTGCACCACTGACAAGGGGAAACCACGCCGGAAAAGCCCGATGAACTTTCTCGGCCAACAACGAGAACAAACACGCGACCTACGGGCTAGCGGACCAGCGCCTTACTCGCTTAGTCACCGTAGCTCCCAAGTCAGATGTAACAAGTCCTTTTAAATAAACTGTTCGTAATTAAATATAGATTTAAAATAATTTCAGATCACAGAGCCGACAACTATGTACCAACCCAAAAAGGAAAAGATTTTCAATCCATTTCGAATTGGTAAAAAGGAAAATTATGTGAATGATCACGAGCTTTACGAGATGCTTCGATCAAGGGAATTATTTCGTTTACAATTAGATCTGAGAAAATCTTTGAAAATAAAGTTACGGGGTTTGGCGAACGTACAGAAGGTCAATATAGCATCGCTGGAATCCAGAAAACGCGGTTTTTTACAGCGCGTCACAAGAAGAAATAAACCCGTCTTGAATGTAGAGGAAGAATTGGAGATCCTAAATTTAGAACATAGAATGCTTAGGATGAAACAAGATGTTGTCGATATAGAAGCTGCAAAACGGGAACTCCTGAAATCAGACAGTTCACTGCCACCCCAAAAACTTTCAAGAGAGCGAATAAAGCTAAGGCCTTCAATGGAAGACATATTTGAAGATTCTTTTCTGTGTCATATTTTGAAAGTTGAAAATTTAAATGAAGAATCAGAAGACGCGTCTGGTGTAAACGAGTTATCAAAAGTCGATAATAATTCTAATAGATCGAATTCTGTTCGATTACCAAAATTATTTTCGGACACCAGACGTAGCTCGCGAAATGACTTTCTTCTTGTGACTGCGGCAGATGAACAAGGTCGAATTATTTGTGACGAAACAACTCCACACGACCGATATAAAAAGCTAAGACAGAAAAGATTACAGACTTTACGCCTCAAAAATAACGATCTGGAACAACGGGTTAAAAACTTTTCATTTTCGGATGTTATGTCGGGTTATCAGTCCAAGCGATAAACTTAAAACTACAATTATTTTTCTCCATTATTTCATTGGACATTTGTTATTTTCAATATCCTTTCCCGGAATATGCAGCTGTTTTATCTCTAATCTCTACGGTATTTCTGAAGCTTGACATTTATATTCTTAATAAAACCTCCGACAAAACTCCATTTAACTTTAAAGATGCGTTATGTAACAGCTAAATCCTAAATTCAGCCTATTGCTGATATTTCGTTTGGCCTCAAGTGTTATATAAATCATTAATTAGACAATTATTCGCATTTCAAGCTCATAATCAACTCTCTACATCATCGGATGGTTGATATTTTAAGGGATTTAAACACGATAGCTAGTTAATAATTTAATCTTAAAAATGGATAATCGAGACTTTATTATTGTAAAAGCCGTAGCAATGACAATCGAGACTACGCCATTCTTCAAACGGCACATAACTCCAGTCAGAATGACGTAATTTGACTGAAATTTTCAATATATTCCCTTTCCATTATCTATTTTTTTTTTTTTTTAACTCAATCTGATTAAAACACAAATCCTTATCTTTACTATACTAGAGATTTGGAAGAGCGGTTATGTAACCCGCCTTCTGGTTGATGTGACGGATTAGCCAATGAAATGGTCTGTTACGGCGAGTTCTTGGCGTGCTGTGAACGGAACTATTTTGGTACTTCACCAGAAACAGCAACGCTGATTGGTTAATCAAATGTTTGACGTCATAAGTTCAAAAGCCGCTCGTATGAACCCTGGCGCGACCTTCCACTACAACATGTATAGAGGTCATCGAAAGTATAAAAAATTGAAACGAAATATAGATCAGGGCCCTTATTCACGAAAACTTAAACTAAGATACAATCGAAATTTTAAGAAATACTGCAATTCGATTGGCTGACCAATATGCAAATTGGATATATGCAAATTGATTTTACTGGTCAGCCAATCGAATTGCAGTATTTCTTAAAATTTCGATTGTATCTTAGTTTAAGTTTTCGTGAATAAGGGCCCTGTATTTTAATCAGATTGTTTGTAACTATTATCGCGAGAACTGCCATCTATTTATAGAAATCTTACATAATGCATCTTTAACCAAATATTGTAGATTTTTGGGAAGGAATACTTAACAATCTGTATAATATACATACGTGATTGGTTCTTAATAAATGAAAATGTACAAGTATGTGGTTTAGATAGTGAAAGAGAAACTTCTTAAGAAATGAAATGAAATTGGGTTTAACGTCCTACTGTTCTGGGCTAATGAAGGCGGGAATACGCCATACAGTGTGCTAGGGAAATTTTGCCCCGACAGCGGCACTACGGCCTACCGAATTCCAAATGTCAAGGGATCTTTTACGTGCACTCCAATGTGTTTGGGAAGGAATACTTAACAATCTGTATAATATACATACGTGATTGGTTCTTAATAAATGAAAATGTACAAGTATGTGGTTTAGATAGTGAAAGAGAAACTTCTTAAGAAATGAAATGAAATTGGGTTTAACGTCCTACTGTTCTGGGCTAATGAAGGCGGGAATACGCCATACAGTGTGCTAGGGAAATTTTGCCCCGACAGCGGCACTACGGCCTACCGAATTCCAAATGTCAAGGGATCTTTTACGTGCACTCCAATGTGTACACGGGACCTCGGCTTTTCGTCCCATCCGAACGACTAGACAGCTGTTCTTGTCAGGCCCTCCGTCCTGCATCACTGACGAGGGGGAACCACGCCGGAAAATCTGGATGAACTTTCTCGGCCAATGCAGGGATCGTACACCGGCCTCCAGGCTACTGAAGATAATCTGGTCACAACGATATTAACGAATGTTGGCACTAGTATCAATTCCATTGGCTGACTTTAGATTGGGGATCATCGTCGGTAGTAAAAAAAATAATTTCAATTACATGTGCTTTGACAATACAGTTGAAATTAAATTGTATTGGAAATCTGGGACAAATCTCTGGGCCTGAGTTATTGTCCGTAAAATACTGGCTTAAAAAAATAACATTTTTGAGGAGTATTACAGGGTTGTCTCCCCTATTAAGGATGAGTTATCTCCGCTTATGAATTGCTTTAGTGTAGAAGGTGAGTATGGTATACATAATATAGACATTTTATCCAGACATTCGTTTTGATAGAGATGTCAATGGTAGTCTGGATAATCAGAATTTGAAAGTCTTACAACATGGCGGAAACTACAAAACGAAAAGCGGACGATGAAGCAACAAATGAAGATGAAGTCTGTATCGGCCCGATGCCAGACGAGGCAGTCAAACAGAAGAAACGTAAAGGTATTGAATTTTAATTGGGACCCAAAAAATACCACATAAGCCCACTGTATTATTGTATTACTGTCTCCCTGTAGTTAGGGTTTATACACTGCGTAGTGAAACACTATCACAACAAATTGGCGTGCACGTAAAAGATCCCTTGGCAGTAGAAATTCGATATAAGAGTATGCCGTAGCGCCGCTGCCCGGGCAAAATTTCCCTCATAGCACACTGTATGGCGTGTGCCCGTCTTCATTAGCCCAGTAGGAGCAAAACAGTAGGACGTTAAACCCCATTTCATTTCATTTCTGTAATTATTTCTTTTATTTTCAGTTTTAGAGTACGAACAAGTTTATCTGGATAATATGCCGAATGCTGAGTATTATGAACTAAGTTATATGCACAGAGAGGCTGTTACACATGTTGCATGTGCCAAGTACGATTTATTTTCTTCTTCTCAAATAAAAAATATTCAACTTTAGCGCTGGTAATTAGTCAGCTTAGTCGGGATATCTGTGGCATATTGATAGTATTGCATATTTTTTGCCAGTGTGTAACTAAACATTATCTATCAAATAAAAACTTGCGCATCAACTGACATCATCTTCAAGAAGTGTAAACCCTGACAATCACGGGGGTTGGGTGGCCGAATTGTTAGCTTGTGCGCGTTGTATCATTAGGTCTGTGATTGAGTCAACCGGCGTGGTTTCGATTCCCCCGGTTGTACGTAACAGGAGTAGGGTCGCCTGTCCAACCTTATGGATTTTCTCCGGGTCCTCTGGTTTCTTTGCACTGCTAAAGACTCCTATGCGCAAGCAAATTATGGAAATAAAATTAGACCATATGTTAGTTGCTAAAAAGATCCTGTTAGTATCAGTGGACATTAAACCACCTCTCTCTCATGCACGAATTGCACATTCGTAATAATCATTAATTTCAAGAAATATTTCTAGTACATTTGTGTATTCATACTTACTGATGAATTATGTTTTACTATAGTATAGATTCAATAAAACTTGCAGTGAAATATTTAGTTTATGCTGTAGAATTTGTCTTTCCCATTAGCATTTTTATGCTGAGGCATTTTGCCTTATTTTAATGAATAATTAGATTGATGAAAAGTGTATTTATAGAAAGGAATATGGAATTCATTTAATTAAAATGAATGTATTCCTGGTTTTGTTTGTCAAATATGCCATTGGGTAACTGGAAATATTTCTATATAAACTGTGAAGCATTTTATGTTCTCCAACAACTTAACAAATGAATTTAAATTTTTGAACAGAAATGGTTTTATTATCACCACTAGTAATGATGGCCATGTTAAATTCTGGAAGAAAAATGAAGAAGAAGGAATAGAATTTGTGAAGCATTTTAGAAGTCATTTAGGTAATCATTGTATCATCAATATTCCATAAATAATTTGCATGTCTAACTTTATATTGGGTCTGGTCAACTGTAGCTTTATTTAACGTCCGCTTCTACCGAGGTGATATCGCAGAAATAGCATGTTATATATACATAGTGAGATTATTTACAGTGTGATCCGCGAAAAAGGATAAAATTGATGATTAAGTATTTATATATGTACAGAAAACAAGTGCGAGTAGAGACAACAGGTTATCACAGACTACATAAACTGTCTGTGGGAATTGGCCTTCAATAGAAATGGACACAGTAAACTGGTGGTGATCATTAGCGAAAGGGTTAATCAAACAGCTTAACACACATTAACAATAAAAATGTATTAAGTCAGTGGAAGTTTATGGAACAAGACCATAAATTGCATGTATCTTTACATTAATGACCTCTGATTCATGTAAAATATGTTATTCCAGGGGCCATTGTTGATATGAATTTAAGTGTTAATGGAGAATATTGTTGTACAGTAGCAGATGATAAAACAGCTAAAGTATTTGATGTGGTTAATTTTGGTAAGTGGAAGTTATTGTACATGTATCTTGATGTGAAATGGGTGGCCATGTTGTAAAACAAGAAATTATTGTGTCCAGGAAACAATCTGATTAAAATACAGATCTATATTTCGTTTCTTTTTTAATATTTTTAATGGCCTCCACAACATGAAGATCTGACCGGTTGTAGTGGAAGGTCGCGTCATGGGTCATATGAGCGACTTTTGACCCTGTGATGTCAGACATTCGATTAACCAATAAGCATTGATGTTTCTAGCGGGATACCCACAGTTCCATACACCACACACCAAGAATTCGCCGTAACAGACCCTTTCATTGACTAATACCTCACATTAACCAGAATGCGGGTTATATAACAACTCTTATAGATCCTAGTGTAGTAAAGACTAGTAAAAACAAGTATTGAACAATGTAAAAACGAAATAGGATCTGTGTTTTAATCAGATTGTGCAAGTAATTAATTGTGCGAAATTTGAGCTACCACCAGTTGCATTAATTTGTATATTCATTGGATTGATGGTTAGGACGAGTACAGTGTTATTTTAGGAGAGGGGTTTTACATAGGCTAAGCCGGTTCTCCAATCCCATTCAGACAAGGGGGGTTGGATGGCCAAATGGTTAGCGCATGCATGCTGCATCATAAGGTCTGTCATTGAGTTAGTTGGCGTGGTTTTGATTCCCCGATTGGACGTGACAAGGAGTAGGTTCGCCCGTCCAACCTTGTGGGTTTTCTCTGGGTCCTTTGGTTTTCTCCCACTGCTAAAGACCCCTACGTGCAAGCAAATTATTGAAATGAAATTGAACAATAAGTTAGTCCCAAAATGACCTAGTTTGTGTCGAGTGGACGATAAACCCCATCTCTCTCTCTCTCTCTCTCTCTCCTATTCAGAGAACCTGAATAAAAATATTGTTTATATAAAAAAAGCATTATTTATTATAGTGGTATGTATTATATATCTCTACTTCAGATATGATCAACATGTTAAAATTAGGTTATCAGCCTAAAGCTTGTGCTTGGATTTTTGCTGCTGGTGATGCTATAGCTGCAATGGCTGTGTAAGTAGTTCTGTCATGTAAAATAAAAACATACCGAGTATACTCAAGAGTCTCAACAAAACTGCTTGACAAATTAGCTGTGGGTTTATTTCAGAGTTGGTAATAAGTGGCGAACGGTCGCTTGGGTTACCGGCATGTAGCTCTCACACTTTGGAACCTTGCTTCTATTTCCTTCATTTTATCCCTATACACTTTGAGCCTTGAAATATGGCACCTGCAAATATCAAGCAGAAATTCAGATTCAGACTTTGTCAGACATGATCAATCTGAAACTATTTTGTCTTTTTTCTGTGTTTTTATTGATTTTATAAATACATGTATGGCACAAAACTGAAAATGTTGGTTGCTAGTTAAAGGAGCTAAATTGTTAATATTTGGCACCTAGAAATTGACACGAAGGTCGCAATGCATACACTGTATAATAATGTAATATGAATGTATATAAACTGATTTACATTCAATCGTTTCCGTTTTTACTCTAATTTCAAATCAGTTATGTTCTGCACAATATACCATAAGTCTCAATCGTATGGCAATCTCTAGCATCTGGTTATTCCAGTCTACACCACAGTATTTATTGTGCATGCTGTCCAGATAAGAATATGGCGTCACCGTTTGACATGACTTGTGGAATATGTCTAGCCTCATTCTTCAAGTCCCTTGTTATAAATGGCACTGAAATGCATTATGGTACACAATGCGTGTACCAATGGTAAAATGTTTATTTTGTCTTAAATATTGGATATCAGAAGTTCATCTTTTCCTGGTAAGATCAAAACATCAATGTTGATTTAAATTGACAAATAATTTGTGTTTTCAATTTTGAAGACTGTGGATGGAATTGATTTAGCGACTTGGCTACTTTAAAATTGTTATATCCAAGTCTACTATACTGATATACTCAGGATTAGGAGTATAATTTATAAAATATTTTCTATGTTGATAGATCTGAAGATGGTACCAATAATATACATGTATATGATGGTACAGGTACCAGTACTCCTCTACATACAGTAGATAAATTACATTATAAACCTGTTACACATATAAAGGTAAATATTTTACAACTTGATTACCTTGATTTTACCTTCAATAAAACAATTAATGATGATTATTTAATGAGAATATTATTCGATGTAGTAGATAAGTTTATGTAGGATAAATAATATTTAATTTAATTTTAGGATCTGTGCCCTATTGTATGGGGATGGGGTTGGGTGGCCGAATGGTTAACACGTGCACGTTGTATCATAAGGTCTGTCATTCAGTCAACTGGCGTGGGTTCGATTCTCTGGATGTACGTAACAAGGAGTAGGGTCACCTGTCCAACCTACTGGGTTTTCTCCAGGTCCTCCTGTTTCCTCCCACTGCTAAAGACCCCTACGTGCACGCGATTGATTGAAATAAAATTGAACCATATGTTAGTTCCGAAATGACTTAGTTTGTGTTAAACCCTATTTCTCTCTCTCTCTATTTCAGTATAATCCTGTATATGAAGCAGTGGTGTCATTAGATTCTGGTGGTATGTTAGAAGTATGGACAGGACCTAAATATGATTATAATTTCCCTAAAACTCTGAACTGGCAGTATAAAACAGATACAGATTTATATGATTTTATGAAGGTAATAAGGACTTCAAAATTCGATGTCTTCAGGGTTTTTTTAGCTCATGAAACTTTATGCCAAATTGATCGCATCCACAGATGGGTTTTGAATTTCTTATAAAAAACGCAGACCTAACAAAATCCCCAAAATAAAACTTATTACAAATATAATGTAAGAACATATATATAAAGTGTTCAGTTGTTCATTTATATGTGTTACACATTAAGCTAACCATATAATAATCCTTTATGCTAAGGGTAGACAAGCATATTTTTCACCTAATAGCGCTGATTAGAATCCGCCAGCCATTTTTACCGACGATCACGAACGGGCACATGTAACGATCATCTTGAGGGTGTATGCTATTCTGTTTCGCCGAGGAGAATCGTTGTTGCCGTGAAGGGGCACACAGGCATTTTTTTTTTTGAGCAATTTTTAAAATCGGCACGATCGGGCAAAAAATATGCTCGTCTGAACCCTCACTTTCAAGGCATTTAGTATATAGAGCATAAAACTATAACACATACTTATGGAAGAAGAATTACTGATTTATTTAGGCATATTTCGAAGAGTATTCTCTCAAAGTTTTCATGCAAGTAACATTCTCAGAAGAGATTTCCTTTTTCTTACCCTTTTCTAAAATGGCTATTTAATTAAAGATCTGTGTTTGATTTTACATATGTATACATTGGTATGTTCTTTTTGTTAACAGTGTAAATCATTACCAACTAGTGTATCATTTTCACCTGATGGCAAATTAATGGCTACCATAGCAACAGATAAAAAGGTAAATACATTCACCAAACTTTTTAGGGGGGTATTAAATATCATTCTCAGTAAATATTAGGAGAGGGTGGGTGGGGAGTCTGAGGCTATTTACCTGCAAATATTCTTTTGTCACCCGAATTTTCAGAATGAATCAATTATTAACTAAAACAAGTTTTCCACAAATGTTATTGTACAGGTCTTAAGTATTATAGTATTTAAAAAGTAAACCGCGAGGGATTTCATTTTACAGTTAAACAATTATATTTCTATGATATATGGTCTCATTCTCTGGTGTTTGTGCCTGAAAAATGTAAATACATGGCCAGAAAAATGGATGGCCTCCATGGCTCCTACACCTATGTTTGGGATGGCTAAGTGAGGAAGACGTCTGCCTCTCTAGCTTAGACATCCCAGGTTCGATTCCAGTGTGTTTCCCAATATCAATGGTGCAGTTATTAGGGCTTGAAAAGGAACAGCATCTAGTCGTTTGGATGGGACAATGAACGTTGGCGTTCACATAAAAGAACCATTATCAGTTGGAGAATGAAATAAAAATAGTCAGTAGTGTTGCTGTACGGGCAAAATGTACCTTATAGTACATTGTATTGCATTCATTTCATTGTCATTCCCAATGTCATTTTTCTCAAAATGCAGGAAAATAAAGTAAAGATTTATTTCAAGTGTACAGGTTCAGTTTACCACCAAATCAATCAACTTTGTCCTTAACAATTCTTATTTAAAGATTATTTCCCGCGTACAAACTGGGGAATTTGACGATATATTTGGACTAAAAACATATTCAAAGTAATTAATTTATCATAAATTTGCTTCAAATCCTTCTCAAAACATTGTAATTGTCAAGGAATACCATTGCTATAAAAAAATCGATCAAAAGAGGTCATATTTGTGTCACGTGACTTACGGGTGGAAGTCTGAGGAGAATTCATTGCATATCACAAATATAGAATCCTAATTGAATTCTCGGATTATTCACTGCCCGCGTCTTTTTCCGTGATTTTTATCTCTGAAAGTGATGTACGTCTAACTCTTCATAAAGTTTATCAACTTGTACATCAAGCGCTCAATGTTCGCTTGTGACCTTTGACATCATGCGTGCAGAAGTTCCTAATCGTCGGGCTGTTGATTAGGGGAACCCTTACATTTTGTCCTGTATACACTCCATGAGTGTTTTTCGTGGAATCCAGTATTTTTCTAGTAAGATTGGATATCTCTACTTTCCATATATACCAAAACTGCCATACATTTATTGGAAATAACCACCCGATAAATACTTTTCTGGGAAGCTATCTTTAATGACTTTTTAGGTGTATTCTTCAAATTGCCAAGGCGCCAAAGTTGTCCATATACTATGCCTGGAAATTAATATCAGAAAGGCCTATTACACTAACTTACAAGTACCTGACATTTTGAATTTTTCGTGCAGAACATGAATTACTGACTGTAACAGTAAAAGCAGAGTTGTGCTATTGGTTTGCTGTTCATTTACCATCTATTTAGTTAATGATAATCAGATTGTTACTTGATTTTACAGGTGAGAATTTTTAGATTTGCTACAGGTAAACTGACCAAGGTACTTGATGAAACTATAAAACAGTATAATGAAGTTCAAGAAGTGAGTTATTATTATAATCAGTCCGATATACATCCTTGGTATCCCCAGTGTGAACCCAGGGTATAGTGGAGTAGAATGGAGTGAGACCACTGTGAATAGTGAGGATGTCCGACAAACTAATACATGTGTCAAATTCTTTAGGGACCTAGGGGGGGTTGGATGGCCAAATGGTTAGAGCGTGCGCGTTGTATCATAAGGCCTGCCATTGAGTCAACTGGCGTGGTTTCGATTCCCCGGTTATACGTGACAAGTAGTAGGGTCGCCTGTTCAACCCTGTGGGTTTTCTCCAGGTCCTCCGGTTTCCTCCCACTGCTAAAAAGCCTTATGCGCAAGCAAATTTTTTAAATAAAATTGAACCGTATGTTAGTCCCGAAATGACCTAGTTTGTGTCGAGTGTACATTAAACCCCATTTCTCTCGCTCTCCCCTTTTTGGACAAGAAGCTGGGCCCGCAGCACTACGCATCTTGTGGTTGATAATCCTCGAAAAAGCCCAATACTCCATCCATTCAAGTATGATGGACGTGAAACTTAGCATGCTTGTTCCATGGACAAGCATTGATTAACAGACTTTGATTTTGGATATGGCATCAAAATTCCAAACTGGTGATGACATCAAGCTTGGTTCTGGTCCACAGTCACACATTTTCTATGTATTAGTCTTCAAATTTCAGTATTCAAATAAAATGTTTTGACACCAAATAGCATAATGACCATTTTCACACTTTTTGAGTACTAACTTTACGTTATTAATGGGTTTTTTTTCGCATTCATATCACATGGTCAGATTCCGTAAAAAATGCTTTAATGTTAAAAAGCATTTTCATTGCCAATGCTAGCTTGATTAGACTGCCCTTAATTTGAGAATTACTCTTAATTTCATTGCTTGAATTCAAGAAAATGCTGAATTTTATTCTATGATGAATTATTTATTTGTTAGTTAAAATTGTTACTGTTTGCTGTTTTATACAATAAGAATTGTACATATGTATTTTAGATGAAACAAGTTTTACCAAGTATGGAGTTTGCACGACGTTTAGCTGTTGAAAAAGAGTTTGAGAAATCAGAATCATTTTCATTATCGAATATTAGTAAGTACAGGTTATCCTCAACAACTGCTACAATGAACTAAGGATACTTATGAATATTCAAAAAGGAATGAGGGTTCGATGGTTTAACACGTACATGCGAAATCATAAGGTCTGTCACTGAGTCAAGTGGCAGGGTTTTGATTCCCCGCTTGTACGTGACCAGTGACTAGGGTCGCCTATCCAACCTCATGGGTTTTCTGCTTGATTACCACAGCCCCCTTTTCTCCTGTGCTCTGACTGCTTGATTACCATGGTCCCCTTTTCTTCATTAATCTGACTGCTTGATTACCCTGGCCACCTTTTCTCCAGTGCCCTTACTGCTAGATTACCATGGCCCCCTTTTCAAAAAGCAGAAGACTGTTTACGTAATAGTTTTTGAAAAAACATTAAAAAATGATGATATAAAAGTTTACTACTAAACATAATTATTAGACATGTTTTTTAGTTTGGTTATTTTGTATTTCAGTTTTTGATGAAAGTGGTAATTTTATTTTATATGCTACAATGTTAGGAATAAAAGGTGAGGAAATTACACATTCTATATTGTTTAGGGGCTGTATGCAAGTTTTTACTCTAACCAACATTATAGTTTTGAGGAATATTAAAAATCAAATATTTTGTTGAATTTGGAAGAAATGTTTGAAAAGTAATACATGATTAAACTTTAAATGGCATTTAGTAACTGGATAGAGTAACAACTAAACACATACTTATGAAAAATATATGATTGATTATTTGATGAAAAATTAAATTATTAAATTTTAAAAAAATGCCCCCCCCCCCTCAAATTAAGACATACAAAAATAATATTTGAGCAACATGAGCTGAAATAATAGTGGTATCCTCTTTAAAACCTGATGGTTTTGATTCCCTGGTTGTATGTGACAAGGATAAGGGTCGCCTGTCCAACCTCGTGGGTTTTCTCCGGATCCTCTGGTTTCCTCCCACTGCTAAAGACCCCTACGCGCAAAAGACGTGATAAGCAGAGAGCTAAATGCACCTGGAGCATTAAATGTTATACAAGAACTCATTATTATTATTATTAACTAATTGTGTAAATAATTTGATTTCATTTTAGTATGGATAAAGTTGTCAAAAATTTAAGTTTTGTTAAACAAAATTGTGTTAATAACTTATTTTTTAGTTATAAATCTGTACACAAACCAATGTGTGAGGTTTATTGGTAAACCAGAGAATATACGATTTGTCCAGTTAGCCATGTTTCAAGGTACAGGTAAAAAGGCTAAAGCAGCGGTAGATGTGGATATGGTGGCCGCAGATAATCCGTTGTTACAGAACACAACAAATGATCCTATTATCTTTACTACAGCTCATAAAAAGAACAGATTTTACATGTTTTCTAGACGAGAAGCTTCTGATTCAAGAAGGTATGTTATGAAACAGAGTTTCTGTTTTTGAAATCAGTATATGTATTGACAATCTGATTAAAGTACAGAGATACATTACGTTACATTTTTTTATACTTTAAATGGCCTACACCGACCAGTTGTAGTGGAAGGTCGTGTCAGGTGTCATAGGAGCTGCCTTTGACCGTATGACCTAGTTTGTGTCGAGTGGATGTTAAACCCTCTCTCAAAGTGACAAAGAAAAAATTGAGGGACAGTTGGGTGTCATGCATGAGGCAGAATATGCTTACTCTTTCTAGATGACATGATATGTCTGTTTTTTTTTGTCACGTTAACTGGCCTGACAATTTACTGCTGTACCGTTATACTTGTAACTCTGTTTTTATCTGATGAAGTATTTTGTTTGGAGTCAAAATGAAATGATTTGGGTTTTTAATGTCCTACTGTTCTACACCAAATAGGCTAATGAAGACAGGATTGTTGGAGTCACTCTTTGTTCAGATCAATGTCAATAATACAGGATATTTTGTACAGAATAAAGGGAGATTATCTGTTTTTATTATATATTTTAGTGTGTGTAATGAAAGAGATATATTCAATGAGAAACCGTCTAAAGAAGAAATTGTGGCTGCTACACAGGTTAGTATTTTAACTCTACTAAACAAGGTATATACCCATCTGAAAAATGTTAAAAGAGAAAAACAAAAAATGTGATCTAAGTAATGGTAGAGGTACCATATTTTTCAGTAGATAAGGAGAGTTAGTCAGAGGTGTTCCAGGATAACCGAAAATTGCATGGTTTTGGTGCACCCTGTTCCAGTAAAATCTATTGATAATGAATGGCTTCAATTTTTAACACAAAATTTCTCATTGTTTTTGTATAACACAATTAAATTTAATCATATTTATTATTGTTCTTTTTTTATTAATTTTAATGTTTGTGATTATATAAATTGTTATATATTTATTATTATGAGGGCTGTCTGAAAAGTTCTAAGCCTACCTGTGAAAGACCTGTACAAAGTCGATGGTTTCCATTTTTTTTTTCTTCATAGTCCCCTTCAAGGTGTACACACATTTGCCAATGATGTTGCAAGGCCTGGATGCCGGTCAGGAAGAAATTTTCTTCAGTCACCCTAAAAAAGTTGTTCACAGCTGACATGACGTAATCATTACTAGTAAAATGACGACCAGCTAGTTCCTTTTACATTTTTGAAAACATGTCTCATCCATGGTTACAAATCTGGCCAAAAAATTATCAAAATCTGCTTCAAACCGGCACATATCTGTGTTGGAGTTAGTCATTTCAGTTGCAGGTACTTGATGACTGCCTTATAGCCTGTTTTGTCCATTTCTGGTGATTCCAATGGGTAGGTTCACAAGATGGTTTGATATGAAGACAAAACTACAGTGGCAGTTCTTATGTCTATGGTTCATTCAATGATTGTACTTGTTGGTGGCAAAAGTTTGTTTCAACCCAACTGATCTATCCTTTTCAGGCTTAGATCTTTTCAGACAGTCCTCGTATTTTGTATCTGTTAATATTAATGTTTGTTAATATTAATGTTTGTATATATTTATTACAGGATGTGGCATATACAAGTATATCAGATCACTGTATTTTACATACAACGATGGGTGATATTCATATTAAACTCTTTCATAAGGAGTAAGTTTTTACACTCACTCATTCCAGTTATACAATTTCAAAGAGTAAATGGCAGACAAAAAGTGCTAAATATTTGATTTTAACCTTACATTTTTATATAGACATTACCAGCTCATGAATATTATATTCATATCATCGTATTTTGGAAGCAGTTTTATATAAGCACTAGCGGATGGGTTAAAAGTAGTATAATGTTACTCCCCGGTCCGAGCTAACCTCATACACAACCTTTTAGCCTCAGTACAGCCTTAGTGTTGCCGCCAACCCACAGACAGATGACAGTCGCAAATACTAGTATAGTAAGGTATAGCATTTTTTTTTTTTCCAGGTGTCCAAAGACAGTAGAGAATTTCTGTGTACATAGTAGAAATAGTTATTTTAATAATCATGTCTTTCATCGTGTTATAAAAGGTTTTATGATACAAACGGGTGATCCTGCAGGTAATATTAACTCTCATGAAATATATTTATAACTAGCGGTCCACCAGGCAGGGATAGTGTCCTGACCTGGAAGTAGTAGTACACTGCCACTAGGCCTATGTCACTCCCCGACTTGAGCTGCCCATATACCCCAAATTTCAGCCTCAGGGTAGCAATAGTTTACACACCAACCCCGAATGCACTGACTGTGGACTTGATTCATCTAATCTTAAGGTACAGAAGCCATGTTGATGTTCTTACCTCTCTATCATAGGAGTCAGTTTTCTGTTATGTTCCTTCTTATGTGTCAGATTCATTATGTTATGTTAATTATGTGCTCAAATTGATTATTTAATTTTTAATTAAGACAACAAAACAAGTAGTGTCTCTTTACAATCTTGTGCAGCACAATTACAGTTCATATGAATTAAAAATAGATTAAAGTGGCGTTTACACCATACAATCAATCCATACAACCGTCTGATGCAACCGTTGCATCCGACCAACTGATCAGACAAATGGTCGGATGGATGGCTTATTGCATGGATAGGATCAGTTCTATTCTAATCCGACCAACTCATGCAATAGCCAATCAAAGTGCATTGTATTAGATAACGTCATTCGCCGTATGACGTCATATTTGACTTAGCAACCAGAATTCCTGTTTAAAGATGTCTTCTTCTGTCGCTTCGAGGTCTTTGATCTCCTCTAAAATGGATCTAAACCTATCCCAGACTGAATTCGAATATATAATAACTCTGTATGGGAAGCAAAGTCTTTGTGGAATCCGCGGCATCAAGACGGAGATAAGAAGTGTCGTCTTGCTGCCATTTTATTCAGTTACTAAGAAGGAATAAATCTTGCCATACAACGAATAGAACCATTGTACGGTGTAAACAGTCGTCCAATATGTTGCATCTGACGGTTGTAGGGATTGGTTGTATTGTGTAAACGCCACTTAAAGCTTAATGCTCCGATCCTCTGAAAATTCCACAATGCAGCCACTTCAGTAGTACTTAGTTTGAGGATTGACACATATTCTTCTTCGTCTTCTATTAGTGTTTTAACATCCGCTTCCACCAAGGGTGATATCGTCTTATGCTTAGCGCACACGCAGGGTTTTTTTCCTGTGAAATCCCGGATTGTACATGGCAAGGAGTAGGGTCGCCTGCCCAACCTTGTGGGTTTTCTCCGGGTCCTCTGGTTTCCTCCCACTGCTAAAGACCCCTGCGTGCAAGCAAATGACCTAGTTTGTGTCGAGTGGACCTTAATCCCCATTTCTCTCTCTCTCTCTCTCTCTCTCTCTTTTTTCCTGTGGGAGGAATCTAGAGTACCTGGTGTAAATAGACGAGGTTGAGGAGGAGTCCTATCTCTATACGCTTACACTTGGCATCAAAACACAATGCTCTAGACCACTAGGTTATCCCCCTACACATATTCTGATGTATTCTGTTTTTTATATAACAGGTAATGGTACAGGAGGAGAATCTATCTGGGGTGGAGAATTTGAAGATGAATTTCATCCAACGTTACGACACGATCGACCATATACATGTAGTATGGCTAATGCTGGACCAAATACAAATGGTTCTCAATTCTTTATTACACTTGTACCCACAGTAAGTTACTTTATTTATTTAATATAAGACGATAGAGAGATAGTTCATGGCACACTGTATAGGTTCTCATAAAATTTCGAGATTTTTTTCAACAAAGAACCAACCTCAGTCATCTCAAAGAAAGTATAAATTGCTATTTAGGTTTGTCTTATCGGGTGTGGTTGTCTGTAACTATAGTGAAGTCCTCCTGCACATGCAATTAAAATTGTATAATACATAACTTTCACTGTCTTTAGAAATTAATCATATAACTATTGATTTGAATTCTGTAGTATTGTCCGGGTTTTTAAGCTAGAGCTATATTATTGTCTCATCCCCCTGAAGTAATAACACAACTAAAATTATGTTTATAAGGCCATGCAAAAGAAAAAAATATACTGGTTCTCAGATACTCTCAGTCTCATGTCACATAAAATGGGCTGCATGACTTGTTTTTATTTAGAAAAAAATAAAAAATAAAAAGAATGTCATTAATTATCTGATATAAACTTGAAGTATACACAACCTTGATAAATGTTACAGATAATCAAGAATGACACTAGATGTCATTAATTATCTGATATAAACTTGAAGTATACACAACCTTGATAAATGTTACAGATAATCAAGAATGACACTAGATAATCATACATTCCTATAAACAACATGACAATAGATAATCATCTATATATATATTTGTGACTGTCATTTGTCTGTCTGTCTGTCTGTCTGTCTGTTTGGGGTTGGCGGCTACACTAGGTCTGCCCCGAGTCTGAAATTTGGGGTATAGGGGTAGCTCGGACCGGGGAGTAACATAGGCCAGGTGGCGTTAGTCTACCACCTCCGGTTTCGGAGTTATGACCCCCGAGCGAAGCCGGTCTGTTCGGGGTTGGCGGCTACACGAGGTCTGCCCCGAGTCTGAAATTTGGGGTATAGGGGTAGCTCCGACCGGGGAGTAACATAGGCCAGGTGGCGTTAGTCTACCACTTCCGGTTTCGGAGTTATGACCCCCGAGCGAAGTCTGTCTGTTCGGGGTTGGCGGCTACATCTGCCCCGAGTCTGAAATTTGGGGTATAGGGGTAGCTCGGACCGGGGAGTAACATAGGCCAGGTGGCGTTAGTCTACCACTTCCGGTTTCGGAGTTATGACCCCCGAGCGAAGCCGGTCTGTTCGGGGTTGGCGGCTACACTAGGTCTGCCCCGAGTCTGAAATTTGGGGTATAGAGGTAGCTCGGACCGGGGAGTAACATAGGCCAGGTGGCGTTAGTCTACCACTTCCGGTTTCGGAGTTATGACCCCCGAGCGAAGTCTTCTGTTCGGGGTTGGCGGCTACACTAGGTCTGCCCCGAGTCTGAAATTTGGGGTATAGGGGTAGCTCGGACCGGGGAGTAACATAGGCCAGGTGGCGTTAGTCTACCACTTCCGGTTTCGGAGTTATGACCCCCGAGCGAAGCCGGTCTGTTCGGGGTTGGCGGCTACACTAGGTCTGCCCCGAGTCTGAAATTTGGGGTATCGGGGTACCTCGGACCGGGGAGTAACATAGGCCAGGTGGCGTTAGTCTACCACTTCCAGTTTCGGAGTTATGATCCCCGAGCGAAGTACATTCCTATAAACAACATGATGTACATAAATATAGTGCTTTGAAATATGATGCGAGAATTTATTTAGCTCAGTAGTGACTTGATCCTTTGACAAAATAAAATCACAAACATAAATCCTCCCGCCAACATCAGATTTTTGGGAAGGATTGTCTGAGAACCAGAATATTTTTTTTTGTATGATCTAATGTGTGTAGATTTTGTGAGACCATGTGCTTTCTTGTTTCAAGGAAATGTTTGATACGCCATCTTGCCCTAGTGTATTATTAATGTGTATTTTTTCAGCCGTGGTTAGATAATAAACATACTGTATTTGGTAGAGTTATAAAAGGAATGGAAGTTATTCAGAATATTGGAAACGTAAAAACGAATGCTAAAACAGATAAACCTTATGATGATATTAGAATTATTAATGTTTCTGTTAAATAATCTCTTCTGGAAATGTTTTTAATATTTGTAGAAATGTAAATAATTCATCTATACTTGTATATAGGAAAGATTCATTCATGTACATAAACATTAAAATCATATCAATTGATTTAGAGTGCTGTGTTTTATTTGTTTTCTGGAATGTCAACAATAGAAATCTTCTACAACAGTAATTGGTGATAGTTCACTTTAGTTCATTGGATTGAAAATCAGATCTGTATCTCTATATACATAGATTTTCTGCTGACAAAAGTATTATTGAAGGAATGTTAAACAAACAAACAAACTGGAAACAATAATATTTCGACAATAATGGTAAACTTTCCAATGCCGTCTTTTAATCAAAAATCTGATTGCAGACATCAAGGGAAATAACTCTGTTTTACAGATATTGGTATAAGACTACATGTAGTAATTAAATTTTATGATACACGAACATACATGTACATATATTTCCCCATTTGCATGACATTTTGTGCTGTCTGTTTGGTTTAGAATTGAGGAAGAGAGTTTGAATTTATATTTCCTGTCAAGTTTTGGTCAATATGCACGATTTCGAGACGGACGGATCAGGAAGTGGTATCGCTCCATTCTACTCCACTAACTCCCGGGTTCATCCACGGAGGAGACACATAGTCAAATTATCCGCCTTTGATACTTTTGCTATTTTTATGAACCAATCGAGTGGTCGAAGATAAGTAACTCGCATTTTATTGCAACTAAGATTATTGTGGTGAACGTAAACAATGGCCTTAAGATTGGTATGTAAACTGTTTTTTGACTGGTTAGTAGAATCAAGCTACGATCCACGTCCGATAATTTGCATTCGTGAAAACCCGTGGATGGAGCCAGGGTTAGTGTAGTAGAATGGAAGATACCACTGAGATTACCGAGAATGACCAGGAAGTAAACAGACAGGAATTTAAACAGTTTCACAGGGGTAATGCAGGTCAACCCCTTCAATATTTTTATCAGATGATTATCACATGGTTATTATAAGATTAAGATCATTGGAATGTTAAAAATAATGTTATAGGCCCTGGGGTTGCATGGATTTACATTGAAGTCAAGGGGGTGGAGATTACTACTCCATACTGTATCCTCACCACTACTCTTTCAATGGCAATTTTTGTTGACTTTTTGATCTAGAATCAAAGTGTGGCACTATCCTGGTCACGACGTAAAAAAAAAAACATGTGACACTGTCGCGTGTCACTATCAAATCAGGACTTTCACGTTGTGTACTTTTTTACTCTATGATCAATTAACTCTGGAACACCGTGTTGCTACAACTATGTTTATATATCTTTATAACATCCACAATACAAAGGTTATATACAGGAAACTACAAACACAGCTATGACGTTAAAAATAATTTCCCTATCACTTTGCGTGTGTTCTGTGGTGAGAGCCACACCTTCTTAAAAAAATCCACATGATATCATAACCCATCCTCGAACCAGAGTCTGTGGGTACATCCCGCTAAAACCCCCGCATTATGTCTCTACCTCGGCCTCTAAACCGACGATACCAAATGATGTCTGTATCCCGGCCTCTAAGCCGAGGAGGCTGTGGGAATGCCCGTCTGAGAATACCAAATGATGTCTGAAGCAAATTTAATCGCGCTCTTTAATTTACATAAAACGTTTAAATACGTCATTTATTAAGGGCGGGTCATTACCATATTTCGGTAAGTAGGACAGTCATTACGGTCAACCCTATTTTATTCAGTTAGACTAATCTGTGCACTAGATGACTGGACAACAGTAACACACTTCCAGAAATGGGTGGTGGCAGAACAGTCGGTGAGTCCGTTTAAGAAAGTTGTAGAATAATGCCTAAATTAGCCTAAATGTACCCGTTACCATGTGTTTAACGACTTCAAATTATTAAACAACAGAGCAGGACCGTAACTAGCTCGAAGCAACGAGGCGGGGCGGAAATTATTGTTCTCAGGGGTGCTGTAAAATGGACGAACAATGTATATCTATATGGTCGAAAAAAATTTTCACAGGGGGGGGGGGGGAAAGTACCTTTCATAAAACTAAAATAACCCCTATAGTATATAAAGTATTACAAAAGAAGATTTGCTTGAATTTGGTAAATTTTCACGATTTTGAATTAGGAAAATCGACTACGTGACAGCCAATAGATTTCTTAACCGGTGTTGTAAAAAAAATTCGATAAGGTCAATCCAGTTCAATATTTTTATCAGATGATTGTGACATGTTGTTATAAAGATAAAGATCAGCGGAATTTCAATTGTCAAGGGTCCTTTTACGTGCACGTAAACCTAGTACAGGGTGGACCTTGGTTTCTAGTCCCATCCGAATGACTAGATTATTTCTGCACTACTGACAAGGAAGAATCGGGATGGAAAATCACCTGGAACTTTCTCGGCCAACAATAGGATCGTACCCTGGACACCTTGGATACCTTGGTTAGTGAGCCAGCACCCTACTCACAGAGCCACTGTGGCACTCCCCACCCCAAAAGAACAAATGAATTTAAAATGAAATGGGGGTTTCACGTCCTACTGTTCTTCTCCCACTGGGCTAACGAAGACGAGCATACGCCATTGTGCTATTATGTAAATTATACCCGGACAGCGGCACTACTCTTACATCGAATTCCAACTGTCAAGGGTTCTTTTACGTGCACGCCAATGCGTACACGAGACCTCGGTTTTTCGTCCTATCCAAATGACTAGACAGCTGTCCTTGTCGGACCCTCCATCCCGCACCACTGAGAAGGGGAAACCACGCCGGAAAATCCAGATGAACTTTCTCGGCCAACTTTCTCGGCCACTGTGACTCCCCCAAAAGAACAAGAAAATACGGTAATGTGGTACTGACATGGTTCTATCTGAATACCTGCTTTATGAAAATCGTGTCCGATTTGTAAAAAGTATTTCTTTCAGTTTGATTTTCAAATTAAGATTGTTTGCAAAATCTGCTACCAAAATATTGTAAAGATACAGACGTTTTAATATTCAATTTACAAATCGTATTTGTTGAATTGATTTCAGCAAACACACGTTTAAAGGGTTTGGCTCTTACCAGGCTTTCGATAAGGTTATTTCGACTTTGATATATAAGATCAATGACATTTATATTCTCGGTTTAAAGCAATCGATATCGACCCTTGCCTGAAGCGAATAACCAATAACGGAACATCAAAGTTTGTACTTAACATCATTTTATGGTCGTCCTTTTTGGAAGCCCAAAAGGGGAGAGACAGAAAAATGGGTTTAACGTCCACTCGACACAAACTAGGTCCTTTCGTTACTAACATATGGTTCAATTTTATTTCAATAATTCGCTTGCGCGCAGGGGTCTTTAGCAGTGGTAGGAAACCAAAGGACCCGGAGAAAACCCACGAGGATAGACAGGCAACCCTACTCCTTGTCACGTACAACAGGGGAATCGAAACCACGCCAGTTGACTCAATGACAGACCTTATGATACAGCGCGCACACGCTAACCTTTCGGCCATCCAACCCCCAAAACTCAAAAGAAAGAGTATATACAAAAGTAGAAGGAAAATCCCTACGCCCAATTCTAAAGTTTCACGCCCAACCAGAATATTGCAACGCCTGCGTCCCACACTGAGAAACAATGCCTTGGATATATAAAACATTAAATTATACGGGATTGTAAGATTTTATCCCTAGGGTGCATCTGGTACGTTTTCATTCATGTGAACTTTTCTTACAGTACGTATAGAAATATAATTAATTAATTAACCACATAGAGAGAAAAGATTATATTGTCACACCCAACAAAGATCAAATTAAATTTCTGATATAATTTGCACGATCTTATGAATGATTTATTTGAACGACGCACGGCAGTCTATAATGTTGTAACGCAATGCAATACTTTAATGCTGTCTAGGGATTTCAAACCTTAATGTCACCACGTAAAATGAGTTAGATAATCTAAGATAAAATATTCGACTTGAGATAACGACAATAAACAATTTTTTTTTTCAAAATAGATTTCAATCGTAAAAGAACGTTATAAATCTATGTTTGGATTATTTAGGCTTAAAAAGCAACATTTTAAAAAAAGCAGTAGGGATTGATATATTTTTGACTTTTGAGGTTTTTAATCTTGGCTTTACAGACAACCCAGTTAAAATATACATCTACATGTTTTATACATTGATATCAGTGTTCATACACATATAAAATACTGATAGTATGATATCAGAGTTCACACGCGTATAAAATACTAATGGTTTAATATCAGTGTTCATACGCGTATAATATTAATAGTTTAATAACTGTGTTCATACGCGTATAAAATACTTATAGTTTAATATCAGTGTTCATACGCGTATAAAATACTAATATTTTAATATCAGTGTTCATACGCGTATAAAATACTGATAGTTAAATATCATTGTTCATACGCATACAAAATACTAATAGTTTAATAACGAATGATAAGTTTGTTCCAAGAAGCGATCTCGCCCCCCCCCCCCATCCGCCCCCCGTTCTCTAAGTTATTATGTTGAATTTTTATTATTGTGTATTGTCTGGTGATGATCATATTGTCCATGTTAAACCTTATTTATCCGCCGTGTTGTCTATTTGCTTGGTAATGAAGACGTGTATGCGCCATTCAGTGTGTAGGGAAATTTTGCCTACGCAGTGGCGTTTCAGCCTACTCTTCGTCGATATCCAACTGCCAATAGTTCTATTAGTGTTACGTGTAAACAGGGGCCTGTTTCACGAAATTTTAACGAAAATAAAATCCAAATTTTAGTAATTTGATTGGATAATATTAGATTGACTTTAAGTGCTTAGCCAATCAAAATTGAAGTATCTACTAAAATTTGGATTTTATCTTTAGTTAAGATTTCGAGAAACAGGGCCCTGTTCGTTATTAGTTCCTCCGACTTGCACCACACCGGAATCGAACGCGATATCTCTTGCTAGTGAACCAGTGCCTTACTCACCTACACATTGATTAAATGAATGAAAATGTCAATATTTAAGAAAAGTATTTAATCCAGGTAGCAACTAGTAACCAAATACCTTTCAATCTATCAAATCTATTGATTCAATGATTGATTAGAATTATACCTGTGCTTGGTTGCCTTTTATAATAAGTTCTTTTTACCGGTAGTCGCGAGTAGCAGTCATAATAGATTGTTCTTTTCTATTCAACACGGCGATTGTCAAGTAATGTTTTTAACACGGTTAGCTTATGACTAATTTATATAGTAGGTATGAATTATTATACTTCATATTCCTAGCTATTGTATTGGATTAATACTATACACCACGACATGGGGTCATTTTTTATGATATTTTACTGTAGTTATTGTTGATCATATTTCAATAAGAAAAATAGATCGTTTATGGCTAAGTTTACCGAGGAGAAATCAAGATTTTTATACATGTAAGTATGATATATTTCCAAGCACCTGCACGATTTATCATAATACTAGAGGAATAAAAGCAGCGTAAACGAAGATAATAGAAGCACTCTAAGTTTTCTTACGTTTATAACAAAGGACGTCTGTGTAGGTATTAATATACCATTGTTATTCATAGATTAATACTCGCATTAATATATCAACTGACTTAGCGTAAACTGTCTTCACCCTGTGGCTGATTAACGAAGCATGTATTATTAATAAACCTGAATCGTAGGATTTCCTGTCTAATTATTCAGAGATTTTGTGATTTTATCGAACGATTTCATTTAGATATATATGTGACTTTTAAGATAAGGATTATACAAAAAAAGACCAGTCACGGGTTTAGGATTTCTCAGACATAAAGCTGGTGTGTGGGGAACGGATGTGTTGGTTTTATCCTTTAAAAGGCTGGATATGTAATCTAGGATAGGAGGCAACCATACAACTAAAGGGTAAGTGTGAATTAAATCTGGACCAACTGGGCTAATGATACGGGCATACACCATGCAGTATGGCATGGATGCGGTGAACCATGACTTTGCATAAGGATTAAGACCCCCGTCCGGGCCGCCAAGAAACAATATTTATATATGTGTTTGGGGGGTGGGGGATGGGGGGGGAGGGGGTGGCAGTCCCTCCCAGTGCCACCTGGTAATATTGAACTGTGTGGAACATGCTATGGTCGATTTATAGCATATCTGACCCACGGTATATGTTTTGACACTGGTTGAGCATTATGATTATGATTATAATTTTGAAAACAGCATTGAAACCTCGTGATTTTTGCCATTTACGAGGGGTGGGGGGGGGCGCAAAAACTCAAGGGGGCACAAAAACTCAAAACCATGACGCAAAGCTTGTCATTGCCACCCTCCCCACTTAACCCCTGTCCCATCGCATCTGAAAGGGTATATTTAAACGTTTTGAACTTCCAACCCAATGTTGCAGACCTAACCCTAACCCACAATCCTCGGCAACAATAACGTGTCCTTACCCTGTTTACATCTCGTGACCTTGACGAAATCTGCAGGTGGCCTTAATATTTATATCTAACCAATTCCAATCGCTCTGATGGGTATCCATTAAATATGGTCACCCTGCCCAGTGAGCAGTGAGACACAAAACGCTGTCGTTTCCTGATTCGCATACTATGAGACTGAAATACCAAAATAATCTCATGCTGCTCGTTTGTTTATTTACAATTATTGACAGTTACTCCCATAACATCACATCCGACATGTTAATTTATTAACTAATTTAATACAAGCTAATTAGTGATATATACCCGTATATAAAACACTACATTTTGGTTTTCAATTATTTGCTTGATAAACCCATGTCGAAACATCGCCAGCAATAAACTGCTAGGTAACTTGTATTCCCTTTAATTCTGTTATTTGCTATTCTGCTTTAAGTCTTGATAAAGTTGTATTGTAAATAAACGTGTAAACAGAGACGACTTTTTTTCATTTTAATCGTTAATCTAGAGACGTTAGAGAGAGTGCGTTTATAAATCAAATACTATTTAGATCCACATAGGTAATAATATATTACAGGTATACACATTGGTAATAATATATTACAGGTATATACTTTAAATCAATATAGATTATAGGTCGTTATACGCCCACATTTCAGTTGAGCGTATTATGTCGTTGCCCCTGTCTGTTCAACAGTCCGTCTGTCACCAATTGGCTCGTGTGATGACTTTCTGTTCCAGAGATATGGACAAAACAGGCGGGTAAAATTACTGTATTAAAATCTTTATGGCTACTCACAACTCGTAAGTTTCAGTTGGTAAGTGAATATAATTCAAAATTTTGTGAGAAAATCTTCGAATTTTAATTAGTGTAGTTATCAAGCTTCTTTCTGCATTGGAGGGCTGGGGAGGGGGGGGGGGCTGATGGTTAGTGCGTGCGCGTTGTATCATAAGGTCTGTCATTGAGTCAACTGGCGTAGTTTCGATTCCCCGGTTGTACGTGACAAGGAGTAGGGTCGCCTGTCCAAACTCTTGGGTTTTCTACGAGTCCTTCGGTTTCCCCCCACTGCTAAAGACCCCTACGCGCAAGCAAATTATTGAAATAAAATTGAACCATATGTTTGTCCCGGGTGTCTAGTCGTTCGGATGGGACGAAAAACCGAGGTCCCGTGTACACATTGGAGTGCACGTAAAAGATCCCTTGGCAGTTGGAATTCGATATAAGGGTAGGCCGTAGCGCCGCTGCTCGGGCAAAATTTCCCTCATAGCACACTGTATGGCGTATGCCCGTCTTGATTAGCCCAGTTTAGGAGCAGAACAGTAGGACGTTAAACACCATTTCATTTCATTTCATTTCATTTCATTTCTTAATCAAATGTTAGATGATCAATCTAGGTAGATTTAAGCATGAATCGAGCAATGACAAATTAGATAATATCCGAGAAATGTAACAGAGAGAGAAATGGGGTTTAACGCCCACTCGACACAAACTAGGTCATTTCGGGACTAACATATGGTTCAATTTTATTTCAATAATTCGTTTACGCGTAGATGTCTTTAACAGTGAGAGGAAACCGGAGGACCCGGAGAAAACAAGCGGGCAATCGAAACCACGCCTGTTGACTCAATCCGAGAAATGCAAATGGCGATCAACAGCTTTAAATGAGCCGAGACAACGCTTATTGATACTGAACAATGACATGCGTTGTATCCCACATTTCAAATATGCACGTTTCAAAGTATTTGAACATTTTAATGATTTATCAGACCATGCAACAAACAACTTGTTTACAGCGGAAATACACGAATCAGACTTGGTAAGTTTAACAGCGCAGACGACCAGTTTTTGTGGTTGTTTTAAAACCATTATTTCTGCACTTGGGGTATACACGTACTTGTCAAATTCAGTTTACAGAGGGTTTTCCATGCTATTACGGGGTTAATGTTCCTTAATATTAAAGGACGATATTAATGTCAGTCATATCACATATGTGATAGAACTGGTTAAATACGTTCCAAATATAGTTTTAACACAGAGATCATTGCTACGATAGATGAATCATGAAGCTTTCAAGAAAGGGAAGTGATGACGAACGCAAAAGGAAAACATGAGTTATCCTTCTATATAACTGACTGAAGTGACGAGTGATAACAGATACACGGGTGAATTTCTGCTCACTAATAATTCCTTCGAAGACCAAAAGTTGTTATGTGAGACTGTAAGAGGATACCTGACAATTCAATAAAGTAATTGAATGTCATTAGATAAAGAGAACACGAGAACAATAGAAATAGTCCGTACATTCCCTTGTTTTTATTCATTCTATACTTAATAAAAACACGCCAACTTTCTATTTTTCTAGTTTTCTCTTATCTAGCGACAGTCAAATATTTTTTAAATTGTCAGATATTCTCTCACAGATCACATAACAACTTTTGATTACTCGTTACTTCAGTTAGTTATATAGAAGGATAACTCGTGCTTTCCTTTTGCGTTCGTCACTTCCCTTTCTTGAAAGCTTCATGATTCTTCTATCGTAGCAATGATCTCTGTGTTAAAATTATATTTGGAACGTATTTAACCAGTTCTATCACATATGTGATAATGACTGACACAAATATTGTCCTTTAAGTAGATATTGCCCTTTAAGTAGAACAGTTTTAAAAAATTGTAAATCGCACACATTCCAGCTAGTGTTGCAATGACATTATGCACGTAAAAATAAAATGAAATGGGGTTTAATGTCCTACTGTTCTGCTCCAAACTGGGCTAATGAAGACGGGCATACACCATACAATGTGCTATGAGGGAAATTTTGCCTGGACAGCGGCACTACGGCCTACTCTTATTTCGAATTCCAACTGTCAAGGGTTCTTTTACGTGCAAGTCAATGTGTACACGGGACGACGGGTTTCCATTCCATCCGAACGATTACTGCAAGTAATTAAAATAAGCTACATCAGCATAATATGTAAAAAAATGGACTTATATATTATCATAAGGCATGTTTACATACTTTTGTTTTAAGATTTTTCTTAAATACCGGTACTGTATACTTTGAGATACACCGCATTTTATGTGAAAGTTTGTTACACAATGAAGCCCCCTTTTCCACGTAAGTTGTTTGCAATACACTGATGTGTGCAAGGGTATGCTTTGATTTTAAAATGACACCACCCAAAAACTGTGGGCTCGTCAGCTGTTCTTCTTTGTTTCGTTGAATAGTGTGGCTCGGTGATGGCTTACTAACCGGAGGCCCAGGGTTTGGTTCTCGTGTTGGCCGATAAACTTGCTTGAGATTTCTAGACAGTTGGAATTCGACAAAAAGAAGGTGGGGAAACCGCTGTCCGGGCAAAACCGCTGCGCAGAACAGTAGGGCGTTAAATATTTCCTCAATCTGATTAAAACACAGATCCTATTTAATGGTTCAAAATTTCCTTTGCTGTCTTTACAACACACGGATATGAAAGAGTTGTAATATAACTTCCGTTCTGGTTAATGTGAGGGGTAAGCCAATGAAATGGTCTGTTACGGCGAGTTCTTGGCGTGTGGTTCACGGAACTGTGGGTATCCCACTAGAAACACCAACGCCGATTGGTTAATCAACTATCTGACGTCATATGATCAAAAGCCACTGGTATGACCCCTAACACGACCTTCCACTACAATCGGTCAGATCTTCATGTAGTGCCGGCCATTGAAAGTATAAAAAAACGAAACGAAATATAGATCTGTACTTTAATCAGACTGACATTTCCTGTTATTTATTCCATCCTCAGTTGAGTCGTATAGATGTAACAACCAATACATTGATGTTATCAACCAAATCAATGCTGTTTCAGGTAAGTATACCAACCGCCACCATCAACCACCCACTGCCATCAACGTCCGTTCAATATCAATTCCAGCAGTTTGCAAATTTTGTTTTCCAGTTACTATATATATATATATAGGATATTTGTCGTTTTAGAGTGAATAACATATTTTATTTCATCGAGAAGCAAGAAAACTTATATTTTCACGAATGCGTAGCATGAGTGAAAATATAAATGTTTTCTTGCTTAGAGATGAAATAAAATATGTTATTCACGACAAAACGACAAATGTTCTATTTATTTTATGATTTTACAATCATTTTAGGTAAAAACAACATGGACTTCTTTAGCCAGTGGAATAACACTTTTATTTCACTGATAAAACGCGGTATTCCACTACTGATCATAAAATAAATATATATATCTATTAGCTTTTCTATATTTTTATATTTTCAGCAGAAGTAAAACGAAGAAGATTTAATCCGCAAAATGATTCGTGATCCTCGCAGAGTAAAATCAGCTCGGCCATGTTTTCAACCTGTTGTACATGATGTTAGTCGTTACATCATACATCCTTATATAGCTAATGCAGGTACGTATGGCTAATGAGTTCAGGGTGAATGTGTTCTTGATCTGGCATGTCTGACCTGGGGTCGTGACCTTGGCTGAGAGCGGGGTGTACCATTATACAAGTAGATAGACGTATAGGTAATGGAATATACCCTCGGTTCAGTGAAACAGCCGTATAAGGGGAGGGGGGGGGTAACGTCCACTCGACACAAACTAGGTCATTTCGGGACTACATATGGTTCAATTTTATTTAAATAATTCGCTTGCGCGTATGTGTCTTCAGCAGTGGGAGGAAACCGAGGACCCGGAGAAAACCCACGAAGTTGGACGGGCGACCCTACTCCTTGTCACGTACAACCGGGTTTCGAAACCACGCCATTTGACTCAATGACAGACCTTATGATGCAGCGTGCACGCGCTAACCATTCGTCCACCCAATCCCCCGTACAAGACGGAGGGTGTATCATTGTTCGGGTGGGACTACAGATTCCACTAGCCAATTATACAACTGACTTAGAAGCCAGATGGAAAAAATGACATTTTACACCAAAAGCTGTGCGAGGATCAATCAATTAATCATTAGAATTGTCTCCCTTCAATTACCGAGACGACGGTGGATTCAAAGTAATTTGGCTAATTCGACGCTCGAAGAAGGGTAAAAGGCGAGTCCAACATGGCCGCCCCGCATATTAATGAGTCAATTTTTTAAAATTGGGGTTAGAGTTAGGATTATAATAATAATTATATACTGCGTGTTGGACTCAACCGGGTTTCAATTTACCTCCGACCATCGGAGAAGATCGTCGACTTGAGAGTGGGTGTCGGAGAATTAACTGTTGGAAACAGAAGCTTTGCAGCATTAGAGCAAACGCCCAAGTTAACCAGTCTCCTAAATGCCGTTTGTTAGGTCATCGACATTATGCCCCCTTTATTTACTTATTGCACACATATTCAGAAATATTTTTAACACCTAATCTATTGTTTTATTTATCGAATGAACATACATTCTGGTCGTTTATGTTTACTTAAAGCACGTAGTTTATGTACAACAAATATCAACAATCCATCGGCTCTTGCTAACTTGTGGGTAGATGAAAGACAAACGTTCCGAGGGGTGGGGCGATTGTCGCTCGTGTGCTTTTTATCATCATAAAATATGAGTGAAGGAGTAACCCGGAGATTTTTAGCTGAATTTTTAAATAAAGATTTACTATATTATGGTAATCCCGAAATGACCCCTTTTTTAAGTTGAGCGAACCATAAACACCCCCCCCCCCCAGTCGTTCATTTTGCTACTGACTTTCGTTGTGTTCTGTGAAGCTAGTAAAATGGCCTAAACTGGAACGTTTTAATATGTGGGTATTCGACTTAGTTTCCCGACTGACACAAATACTATGCTATACAGAGATCATCTATCTGTCATCCAGAATAGAAGCTACAGCGGATTTCCGGGAATAAAAATAACATCGTACCGTTCTAACCAATTCTATTATTCAGTCATTTCTGAAATCTGCCTCCGAGTTCACAAAGCATCCTCAGACTTAAGTTAAGAATTTACTCAAAATTGTTCGCCTTATTTTAACTAATATATAGCCCTTTATAAAACATACATCAATAAGAAACTATGCCCCAATTTTTGCTCTAATTTTTGTGTTTCTCGATCAAAGATATTTCTCATAAACAGTGATTGAAAGTTGAGTAAATTCTTAACTTAAATCTGAGAATGCTTGGTGAACTCGGGGCCTGGTGGAACGGAACAGGGTGTAAAAACAAAAACACATACTAGTGTATTTAAGGCGGCGTTTCGGTGAATCAAATTAATATGCCACCTGGCGAACTCCCGCTCTATAATTTCCTTTTTCGAAGCTAGCCGAATGGTTGGATGGCCGAATGGTTAGCGCGTTCGCGCTGTATCATAAGGTCTGTCATTGAGTTAACTATACGTGGCAAGGAGTAAGGTCGATGTCCATCCTCGCGGGTTTTCTCCGCGTCCTCCGGTTTCCTCCCCCCCCCCCATCAACGTTATTAAGAGTTATTGTCTCACAGTTGTCAATCGCCTGTATTCATTCTTCAAAGCATGGACGAAACTTTGAGGTTTGTGATGAATTTATAATTGAAATAAATTGTGGTGTTCCGGGTGAAGTCTGGTTGTAAGTGCTCGCAGTTAACGGAAATGAAATGAAAGGGGGTTTAACGTCTTACTGTTCTGCTTCGATTGGTCTAATGAAGACGTTCATATGCCACACAGTGTGCAATGAGGGGGAACCGTGGATGAAAATCTCGATGAACTTTCTCGGCCAATGCAGGGATCGAACATGGGACCTCCAGGTTAGCGAGTCAACGTTGTGCAGGACAGAGGGCCTGACAAGGGACAACGTTCGGAAGGGACGAAAACCCGAGGTCCCGTGTACACATCGGCATGCACGTAAAAGATCCCTTGGCAGTTTAAATTCTATATAAGAGTAGGCCGTAGCACCGGTGTCCGGGCAAAATTCCCCTCATAGTACACGGAATGGCGTATGCCCGTCTCCATTAGCCTAGTCGGAGCAGTATGCTATTTCGAATCGTAATTTCATGTTACATGTAAGTGTTTTATTGTATACAGATGATGATACTCTCATCAACATAATGACGTTGGTCAACTCTCAGAAATACAGCGAAGAATCACCAGATAGACCGCAGAGTTGTGCGGGACAGCCATCAAGGATATCGTCTCCGATACCTTCACCAGCACACGCTTGGAGATCGGCCAGTGTCTTACCTCCTTACCAACCCCTTTTTGAGAAACCTGGACAGATTCAGAAACGTCAAGTTCAGAAGAGTGCTAAATATAGATCTAGATTATCACATGGTTCGATAAGATCATCAATGAACAACAGTACCATTAAGTCAAGTCTGGAAGATTTATATTTAGTTCCTGGTAATCGACAAGAAGATTCTCATCGTAGATTGTGAGTATAGTATTTTTACTTCCAACTGTCTAACATTCTTTTCTTGTGCTAGGTTCGGGGGTTGGATGACTGAATTATTAGCGTGTGCGCGCTGTATCATAAAGTCTGTCATTGAGTCAACTGGCGTGGTTTCGATTACCAGGTTGTACGTGACAAGGAGTATGGTCGCCTGTCCAAGCTCGTGGGTTTTCGTCGGGCCTCCCGGTTTCCACCCACTGCTAAAGACCCCTACGCACAAGCGGATTATTGAAATAAAATTGAACCATATGTTAGTCCCGAAATGACCTAGTTTTGTCGAGTGGACGTTAAACCCCATTTCTCTCTTTCCCTCTTCAATATTTTATGATATTATTGTCTACCCGTAGACTGATGTTAGTTCTATACTTAAATGTGTTTTATTTTATTTTATTTTCAGACAAACACCGTATCGTCTGTCCACCGCGGGAGAGTCATCCTCCCCAACTAAAGGTCGATATTTTGATACAACCAATGGTTTATGTTCAAGTCCACGTCCATCTCGTCATTATCTTCCACATTGTTCCATATCACGGCGGCCATTTACAGCTAAACACAGTGTACCACGTGTTAAAGTTCAAAAGATTAAGTTACATAAGAAACTGGACTCGGAACTAACTGATGAGTGATATATAAAATCAGAACTATAAAGACATGTTAGGGTTATCTGGGGTTTGAATGTATACACTGGATGACTGTCTCTGAGGACACAACACCATTAATAGGCCTACTTCCAGTCACAATTGGCCTCAAGTCTATGGAAATAGACCCACCAGTTATTTCATGATAGTTCACTAATTTGTTCTGTTTTTTTGTATTTTTGTAATATATTGGATCGAGGGAGGGGAAATCAAACTCTAATGGCATCTCAAACATGTTGTTTGTTAACGCGACCTGTGAAATGAAGTCAGTGAAAAGCGACCAGGTTATTTAGCAACCACTTGCAACAGCAAGGGTGACCACCCTTCTGCGATTAACACAAGATCTGAACGGCAAATTCAACCACTGTGCAAACCGTACAGTTTTTACCGCGGTATGATAAAGTTGGAACTTAAAATTACAGAACGAAAATAGAATGAAACGAAGTCTACTTTCTGTTCTTAATGGTCTCGGCGGTGATCGTAGTCGAATCAACGGGGTAGAGCGTGGATACGGGTTGTGTAAAATGACTGCTTCTCCACGTGAAAGGACATATTGGTGGCACTAATTCTAGAACGACTTTCATTTGAATCATCCTTATCAACACCATACGGACAACGGATACAGAGGTTTTAAAAATCTGAGAAAAGACGGACACCCCATCAAAAGACGTGGCAGCCGTGCATCCACCCCACCAATCCAGAAACAATGTTTGAGAAATTTATATTGTTTTCGCCTACATTCTAAAAGTTAAGGCCCACTGCAGATTTGGTTAAAGGTCAAGAGGTGTAAACAGGGTTAGGGCTAGGGTTGGCTCCTTCGTGGTTAGATCCATTTGATAAGTTTGGCCAAAGTTCACGAGATGTAAACAGGGCTAGCGCTAATCCCAACCTGAACCCTGACCCTGGACCTAGCCCTAACGCTTATCCTAACCCTAACCCACAATCTCGTCAAAAATCACGTGCCCTAACCCTATTTACATCTCGCGACCTTGACGAAATCGGTCATGGGCCTTAACTTTTAAACTTTACGTACATGATAGACAGCAAGACAATGATCATTCAATTTCTGATTAAAAGGAGAAGTATGTATAACATAAAAGTGCCAGGAGAAACACTAATATAGTCGGTTCGGGTAGTTATATGTTTCAACCATTTGGAACAGTTGTTGATAATATAATAATTACTATCATGTGATAGCACCGGAGGTTCTCTCCTACTGGGGACTTTATATTGTGGACTGTGGGATACACGATTGGGTTGATTTGTAGCATATCAGAACCACGGAGTATGATGGACAATGGATTAGCATTACCACTTATGATTGGAGCTTTGAAAACCACGCTGTATCCACGTGATATAAAGTCAAGATGTGCCATTATTTTAAGCAATGGGAATGACTTGAAACTCTATAGGAATATCAGTCCAAAAAAGGTTCAATTCCGTTCAGTATTTAAAAAAATATGTGGAGTTTCGATTTTCCTTTCTTAATTAAAGATACATTATGGGAGATTCGATAACGGGTTGGCAGTTCTCACTATAATAGTTAATAACTAGATAATGTAAAGGTAATTTGCTGAAAATTTCATTCAAATTGATCCACTATGAACCGAGAACTAAGCGATTGAAATTACCGCCTAGCCTCGATCATGGTTACTAAAGTCAGTATGATAAACAGCATAGTCTCGATTATCCATTTAATCGTTAAATCGGGAAGGAAAGTTATGCAGTAAATCGGCTCATAATCCACTAAAGATCGCAGGCTAGCGATGCCATCTAGAGTTGATTATGGTCTTGTTTTGTTAATTAATGTGTAATTAATAATTTAGATAACATATCAGGCCTAAAGAAAGACCTGCAATAGGCAGATTTAGCTCTTGCATAATGTATGTTTAAATGTTAAATAATCAATCTCGGTAGATATTTAGTGTACATGAGCCGTGAGCAATTTGATATATTAGCGACAATGACAATGGCGCATCAAGACTTTAAGAGGGAACACAAAAACATATGACGCAAAGCGCGTTATTGTGTCCCCTCCACTTAGCCCCAGATTACTTCACGAACGATACACCACTCTCTTTAATGAACGGATGCACTGGCTAGTGAATGTCTATCTTATTTAAATATATGATCTATATTTCATTTCGTTTTTTATACTTTCGATGGTCTCCACTACATGAAGATCTGACCGGTTGTAGTGGGAGGTCGCGTCAGTGGTCATACGAGCAGTTTTTGACCCTATGGCGTCAGACATTTGATTGACCAATAAACGTTGATGTTTCTAGTGGGATATCCACAGTTCCGTGCGCGGTACGCCAAGAACTCACCACAACATACAATTTCGTTGGCTAATCTCTCACATCAACCAGAACGCTGGTTATATAACAACTCTTCCAGTGTTTTAATCAGATTGAGTGAATGTATTCTTTCACATTTGTACATATTATATCACAGAACATGCATCAATTAATAGTTTTATCTATAATATATATTGAATCATTATGTTTTTGTTTTTGGATGATGTTCGAGAATTCAAAGTTTAGATTTCAACGAATAATAATAACCTATCTTGGTATTTCCAGGGGTGGGATACAAACTAGGCGTTCGTTTTTTTGTCTTTCCGTATTCCCTTGGCACATATATTTTTAATTTTACTCTCATATTACTTAGTGGGGTTGGATGGCCGAATGGTTAGCGCGTGTGAGTTGTCTCATAAGGTCTGTCATTGATTCGGCTGGCGTCGTTTCGATTCCCCGGTTGTACATGACAAGGAGTAGGGTCGCCTGTCCAACCTTGTGGGTTTTCACCGGGTTCTCCGGTTTCTTCCCACTACTAAGGACCCCTACGCGCAAATGAATTATTGAAATAAAATTGAACTATATGTTATCAAAATCAATGACCTATATGTTAGTTCTGAAATGACCTAGTTTGTGTCGAGTGGACGTTACCCCCCCCCCCCCCCCCTCTCTCTCTATCTCATGCCACTTAGTGAATCTATATAAAAGGGCTATTATCCAGATGTGGATTCACCTTGACATTCGGATTACGTTTTGGCATCGTATGAACTATTTTGTTTTATACTGTTTTAGTTGGCTTTGAATGACCTTTCCCACACCGTTGACGTAGTTTACACTAAGTCACATTTCTATTTTATCTTGTGTTGTGTTAGAATGGATAGATAGATGATAACATGTACTTTTGTTTACGTTAAAGAAGGACACACGTGTTGTGTAGACCAGCCCCCCCCCCCCGCACACACTCATTTGGTCTAAGGGGGGGGGGGTGGACGAATGGTAAGCGCGTGCGCGCTGTATCATAAAGTCTGTTATTGAGTCAACTGGCGTGGTTTCGATTCTCCGGTTGTACGTGTCAATGACTCAATGAGTAGGGTCGCCTGTCCAACCTCGAGGGTTTTCCCAGGGTCCCTACGCGCAGGTGAATTATTGAAATAAAATTGAACCATATGTTAGTCCCGAAATTCCCTCGTTTGTGTCGAGTGGACGTTAAACCCCATTTCTCTCTCTCTCTCTTTCATTCGGTCGGTAATGGACCATGTCATATTGTGTAAGCGTCCTCTTTTTAAATTGAATAAATCATTGTACAAATTAAAGTCTTTCAATACAAAGTGTTTTATGGATTACAACTGCAGTGGATTCACCGGTAGCCGCGGTGGATCATTGCGTTTGGCGCTGGATCACTAACCAGGAGGTCTTGGGTTCGATCCTGGTATTGGCCGCGAAATTGCTTCGGAATTTTCCGGTCTGGTCTACCAGTGCAGGGCGGAGGATCCGACAAGGAAAAGAGCTTCTAGTCTTTCGGTGCACGTTAAAGAATCCTTGGCTGTTGAAATTTGATGAAACACTGCTCTACAGGCAAAATTCTTCTCATAGCCCATAGCATTGGGTATGTCCGTCTTCATTAGCCCAATTGTTGAATTGTTGCAAAAAAGTAGGACGCTGAACTCCGTTTCATGTTTAAAATTCTTTCACAAATAAAATACCTGGCTCGAGATCACAAAACATTGTCAGATTTAAGTTAAGAATTTACTCAAAATTGTACGGCTTATTTTAACTAAAATATATCCATTTATAAAACTTTTCTTTTAATGTATCAAATACACCAATAAGAAACTATGTGCAAAGTTTTGTGTTTCTGGATCAAAAATATTTCTCTAAAACAGTGATTGGAAGTTGAGTAAATTCTTAACTTAAGTCTTTGTGAACTCGGGCCCACATTTTTACCAGGTGCTGGTTTTATCAGTATATCTCATAGAAAAACAATATTAAATCCAGAATTGTTATTATCAATCAAATACTTAATAAATTCCACTAAAAGATTATTATCGTCATCAATATGGAGATGTGGCAGTATATTAGCATGATAACGTCTAGAAAATACGGGTCTATAGATTTACCCATAACAAACCCAAACAACCTATCATTTGAATAAAACAGCACCTTATTTTTTTATTGTTTTTCTTTCTTTTTATATGCATACATCATCACTATTCCCTATACTTTACTCTTTTTTAACAGTTCTGAAAAGTAAAAAACGGAAATAAATGAAAGATTGAAGCAAGAAAGACAACTCTTATTGTTTAATTAATTAACTATATAAAGTGATCGTTGAGTTGTATTTACTGTTAAACACTAGATTTCTATGATGTTTTCTTTGTTTATATGTATAGGTGATTAATATTCCCTAAATTTTACTCTTTATTTTCATAGTTTGGAATCGAAAACGGAAAAAAAATGAATCCCCTATGATGACAATAAGAGTTGGCTTTCTTGCTTTGATACAATGAAAATAAGTTATTTTATTAAACATACAGGTTGTTTTTGGGCGAGGGGCTGTTGAAAAAAGTGAGATGTTTAGGGAATATTAATCATTTATGCACATAAACAGGGAATAAAAACCCAATAAAAATATGTTTGGGTTGTTATGAGTAAATGTATGGACCGAGAAAATACTCTTCGAAATGTCGCCTAAATAAATCAGTAGCTGTTTTCCATGTGTTGTGTTATAGTTTATTAATCAACTACTAGTTATAGTTTTCAATAAAAGATCAAAATAACAAAGTTCGATAATCCTGTTCTGTTGATTCAGATTGCATTTAATATTCGCTCGGATATTTGGGTGTTTAAATCTTTTAAACGCCCTTTTAAATCCTGGATAACACCGGTATAATTTGTTTTTAAAAACCTCCTTCGACTTCATCACACAAATTTTCACATGGGTTTTAAACAGAATGGAATATAAAATATTTGTATGGAGGTCGCTAACGGAAAAGGGCGATTAACAACGAAGTATGAAAAAGAAATCGATTTCCCCCTAGAACTGTTAGAAAGACAGTTTCTGTTGATTGTCGACACTGAAGATGTGAAATGTCTAAAATTAGTTTATGTCAATTAGCTATGCTATGTCAAACATGACATGAAGGCGTAGGTGTCGGCTTGGGGTTTAAAAGTGCGAATTAACGTATGACTTCAAGGAAATGGTTTTTCCAGACCTGTTTTTTTTTAAAGTAGTGTTTGTGCGAGCAATTGACGAAACGAAGACAGAAATGTCATGTCTTTGATTTAGGATTAACGGACTCTGACTTTTGGTCATTAGGTTGGACAAGGAAACAATTCAAGAGATTTGTTTAGATTATGTCAGTAGTTAGAAAAAAATAACAGCTTTGTTTAATTCTTAAAATAATTCAGACAATTAGCAAAATCCTGGCTTTAAAGGGACAATAACACTCTTGCTGGATTGGCAGCTCCCAAAAATAAAAAAATAGCCTTATTCTAAGTACTAGATGTGTAAGTGTCCTACCTGTTGTATAAATTATCCATTAAATCCTATTTTACTTGTCCAGAGGATTCAAAAATATTTTTAATTCCAAGTCACATTTGAAAAGCTTTACGTCAGGCTTTTCAAATCATTTAGTTGAATTTTTCCAATTTTTTAAATTAGGTGTGTTAAGATGAAATTTGTATCATCAATTAATTGGAATATTGTAAAATAGTACAATTTGTTGACCAGAATAAAGGTTAGGACATATTATTCAGTTACAACAAGAGTGGTATTCAGCCTTTAAATAGTAAGTGTAGATGACGTCTTTAGGGTTGAAGTAACTCCCCCTGAATTACGAGGCGGAATTCCGATGCTTACACAGAACTTAACAAAGAGATAAAGTTTAAAAAAAAGAAAACAAAAGAGAACAAAATGAAAGATTTATAAAAGCCCTACACACTCATACTTACACACGTCTTAACATAGATAAAGTTTTAAAAAAAAGAAGAAGATTTCTAAACCTCGTATACCCTCATACTTACATAAACCTGTAGCCCTTGATATAGACGTGAAAGAATTTGCATGTATTTGAATAGAATAGATTAGCGTGCTCTTATTCTCACAGCATTTTTCTAAATCTTGAGCGTCTTCAAAGGCCAGGGATAACTAATCTTCTCCAACAACAATGTGGATTTAGACATCTTAGCGTGGTTCACAAAAAACATATATTTATTTCTCGTTTCCAGGTGCTACAATTGAGAGAGAGGAGAAATAACTATCATTTGAACCGTGGATTAAAACAAGGAGAAATTCCTGGTAAAAAGCCGAAAATGACAAAATGGAAACAAGATTTTCTCTCCCAAGTTCTAAAACAAAATTGTTCTTTTTATTGTAAATTGGCAATAAGTGAATATAGAGAATCTCAAAATAAATATAGACGTGTGTAAAAAAAACATTTTTAGCCCTGGACCTATCCAAAGGGTTTTTTCTTGCACCTCGTGTTCGTACGGATAAAATTTGATTGAAACAACTTCATTGGGTTTGAAGAAGAAGTCGGGAATGCAAATCTCTTAATGCCAGTATCCCACTGTCGTGCTATGTAATACCATAGGACTGTCCCTATTGAGTCCACGATCTACTACCTGCAGATACGTTCGGATATGTTTCGAAAGGATCAACGCGATTGCTACGACTGATCATATGATAAGACCTGACAGGATCACGACGATTACTCCACGATTAAAACCATGATTTCAATCGTAGCGCGAATCGTGATAGTGGGAACCTAGCTTTCATAACACACCACACGATAAACAGAAGTGAAGTACCAACAACGTATTGATTAAACCTAACTCAAATTATCAAAACAATTATCTAGCACAATAACGAGGTTTCCAGCGAGGTTCTTCAAGTTTCGGTCATAAACTGATGATCGCCATCAACCCACTTAACTGTTTCATAAAAAGAACAGAATAAGAGAACGCGAGAGACACCTAAATCCCACACGGTGCTCTAAGCCCACGGGATAAAAAAAAGTGGATCAGCTAGACCATAAGGAATTGGGGTTGGGATGGCCGAGTGGTATAGAGGTCGTACTTCGGGCGCTAGCTGACCGGTCTCCCCTGGATTGCGGTTGTGGATTCGATTCCTGGTGTGAGCGTTAGTCCGAGTACTTCGGTTTCTTCCCACATGAAAGACCCCCGCGCATGTCTGTGATACCACCCTCGATTGAAGTGGACGTTAAGCCCAAACTATGCGCACCCGGTTTCTATTGGCTGAATGTAACTTGGCATTGGCGACGTTTCGCATGTACGGGGTGAACGGCAACATAAATACAGGATCGACGAGCACAATTAGAGACGATTACATGTCATTTCGGTCCCGCGTCATTTCGGACTTACGTCATTTCGGACTCCAAAAAATATGTCCCCGACATTTCGGACTCGGGTAGGTGACATTTCGGACTCGGGTAGGTGACGTTTCGGACTCGGGTAGGTGACGTTTCGGACTCGGGTAGGTAAGATAGAATTATACAACACACTGACGCCAATTTACTTTATAAACTATTTTATTTATCAACATAGCATAAAATGATAACATCGATTTATAACAACGGGCATATTATTTTATTTTTAAACATACCATATAGCGATAACAACGGTCATATAAAACATTCATTTATTGTATAAATACATACACATTCATACATTAACGCAACATTTATAACAACACGTGTATTTATTTGATGAAAAAATAGCTTTAGTCGGCTATTCATTTTTTTTTTTTTTTTTTTTCATTTTTTTAATTATGTAATTGTTTTTCACTGAGCGGGTGGACCATACAAATGACTTATTTTTTTTAATAGTCTACTAGTGCTCATCTGTTTTTCATTGTATGAATCCCATATATTAAAAAGTTGGCCTTCTACATGTCGATACCGACGTCTTTGGTGTCGTCTCAATGAACCTTCCGACATCATTGTGAGGTCCAGTGGTATCTTTGTAGCTTCTGAAAAAAGTGCGCAAATCAATAGATAAAATGGCACAGGACCTCTGGCGTTGACACGGGAATTTAGTCTGTTGTGCCAGCCCTCCACGTCGTTATTGGTTCTCACTGGCAACATAAACACGCACCAATCTTCTATTGGAAACAGACGAGATGAAATCCATTGATCTTCTATGTATGTACATATCGGCTCTAACTGTTCTGGGCACCTGTCTTTCAAATGGGCAAACATGCCCGCCACGTGTTCTTCGGGCAGGAAAGGGAGAGCCATCAATCGCCTCAAATAATTAAACACGTCCCCCTTTTCGTTGTACGCTGTCTGAAATAATAAAATATTAGAAATATATTAATACTGAAAATCTATTTGTGCACTTGTACTTTAAAAGAAGATATTATAATAAGAATTTTTTTATTTTACTATAAGAAGATTTATTATAAGAAGAACGCACAACATACCTGGAATCCCTTTTCTTGAATTTTCCGGAAAACGGCCTGGGTCCAATGAAACACGCATCCTTGAATTCTTATATCTACAAAACGGCGTCTAAGGGCCTGCCATAACCCCGCCTCAAAATCCACCACAAATCCCTCCAAGGCAATCTGGCTTGGTAGCATCTTGTCC